AATTAAATACATTTTCTAGTTTCTTAGTAACAAAAACAAAACAAAATAATAAACATAAATCAACCAGTGAATTTAAAAGACCCGTGTCACATTTTAGGAATTAAAAAATGACTGTTCAATAAAGACTTCCTTAAGTTTATTTTCTGCTATTACAAGGAGTATACCGTTTTCTGTCTTGAGGGGGCTCAGTTCTACAGTACACTGAGATGCCAACTATGTTTGACTACTGTTCTATATTGATTTGTCCAGACGTATCTGCCCTGTGGGAAACACATAAACTTTTCAGCCTTCACACATTGTTAACACTGGAAAAATATCAGCGACAACCCCTTGTTGCCAGCCCTGGTTACTTTCGTATGGTAAATGACCCTGCTTCTGTCTTCCTGGTTTGTGCACTTCTGAAAGAATCACTGTTTGACAGAAGTGTTGCTGAAGGGTGTAACAATGACAAACTGGGCCTCCACTTGTAATGAGAATCTCTGGGCTGTTTACAAATAAAGGTCTGAGCAGAAAATTTGAATAATTGGGAATTACATACATGAATACAATTTGGATATGAAAAATGTAATCACAGATGGAAGAAGACCTTGATGCCTCAGACAAGTTGCCTTGAGAGAAAACACAATCATAGCCTGAATCTGCTGCTTAAAATATGTTGAGGCTTCTAAGCAAAATAGGCATTTAAACTCAAGACAATCACGTGTTTCTTTGCTCACACTATTTTGAATGAGTTTGTGTGAAAATTGGAAGAGACTCCAAAACTGCTGGCATACAGTTATGAATGATCAGTTCTATTTTCTGATTCTGACTCATCACAAATTGTTATGAAGCCAAAAAAAAAAAAAAAAGTTAATTGACCAAAGTGAAACAAAATCTATGTCCATTGCCTTATAAACTCCCCATTCAGGGTGTTGAGTATCATACTTTCAGCTCAGAATTTTGAAGATAAACTTTCCTTTCTTTACTTTTAAACTTTGCTCTTAAATGAAAATCTTTGTCTTACAGATTGTCATAGCTAAAATCATAGATATTTCCTCTTTTATGTAAAATGCTTTACCAATAAAAGTAAGTTTTGATGTTTGAGCAACTTATTGGCCACTCCTTGGAGAAGTCAATTGGCTATGTCTTTCCCATGAATAGGCCTCTAGCTTTCAGAGGTATAGTCTCTTACTTTTGTCTACCTGGTGCTTTTGTCTACTATACATTTATATTTACATGACTGAGTGCAGTGTTTTTCAAACTTCAAGTCTTGCTGTATTAATGAGTAGTCAAATCAAAATATAACCAGCGTTTTGGTGATAGGGAACCCAAGGTTGAGAAGGGAGTGTTGACATGTCGTGGGGTTGTTAACCATTGTCATAGGGTAATATGTGTACTAACTGTTTAATGAAAAACTATTTGTTCCGTAAACCTTCATCCAAGGTACAGAAAAAATAATTAACTATGTGAGATCAAATTGACAACAGCAACTCAAGGGGTTTGATGGGAAGCCTAGGGGGCAGTGAGTTGAAGATAATGGTGATGGAGTAATTTGGAGAAGGATGGTGAGAATAGCAGCACAACTGGAAGAATGTAGTCGATGTTACTGAATTGTACGTGTAGAAAATTTTGAAACAGTGTATCTTTGGCTATGCATATTTTCACCAAAAAAAAAAAAGAAAAAGGTCCTCCAAGGTCGAGAAGGGAGAGGGTTGACATGTCGTGGGGTTGTTAACCAATGTCATAAAACAATGTATGTACTGACTGTTTAATGAGAAACGATTTGTTCTGTGAACCTTCATCTAAAGTACAATTAAAAAAAAATTAAAAAAATATATAACCAGCTTTTAAAGTGTTTTACTTTATGAATATTATTAAACATACACAAAAGTAGAAAAACCAGTGATGTTGAGTCAATTCCAACTCATGGTGATCCCATATATGTCAGAGTACAATTGTGCTCCATAGGTTTTTATATGGCTGATTTTTTGGAAGTAGATCGCCAGACCTTTCTTCCAGGTGCATCTGGGCAGACTCAAACCACCAACCTTCTGGTTAGCAGCCGAGTGCATTAACAGTTTTCACGACCTAAGGACTCCACACAAAAGTAGAGAGAATAGTAAAAAAGAATCCCATATACCCATCACCCAGATTCAGCAATTATTATGATTTTGTTACATTTGCTTCTTCCATCCCTTAGCTTTTCCTTTTTTTCTTTGATGAAGTATTTTAAAGAAAATGCTAGACATTACATTGATTTACTTCTACATATGCTGGCATGCATCTCTAAAAAAAAAAAAAAGAATACTATCTCACAAAACAAAACTTAACAAAATTAGCAATAATTCTTAGTATTTTATAGCACCCAGTTCATAATCAAATTTCCTTGAGTGTTTCAAAAATATTTGTTTTATCGATGGCTTGATCAGATCAGGATTAACCAGCATTTAAAAAAACTACATAGAAGAAAATAGATTAATAAATATCAAAGGGCATCACATGTAGTAAGGCTAGTTATTGTTTCATGAAATTTCTTATTATGTATTTGTCATCTAGGTAACTATTTCTTACTATTGGTCACACAGAAGTTTGAAAGCCACTGGGTTAATGATGCTCCCCTTTACTCTACAAGCTCTAGGCAGACTTCTGGGAATTCTGTGTCCAAAAACAATTTCTGCAGCATAGAAAGGAATTTATAGTGCAAGAAAGAAAGCCCTGTACCTTATCCTTGCTGTTCCCTCTACCTGGAACTCCCCTCTATCTCTACTATTTCACATCTTCCCCAGTCTTCAAGGGTCCAAATGGCATTCCCACCAGGAAACCTTCTTTTCTCCCACCCAGCTGTCACTTGGTTTGCCTCTTCTTCCTCGTACTCACCACACTGCCTTATGTAATGGTTATCTGTGTTTTAGCCTCCACTGTAAACAAAGCAGGAGTCCTGGTGGCACAGTGATTAAGTGCTCAGCTGCTAACTGAAAGGTCAGTGGTTCTAACCCACCAGCAGCTCCATGGGAGAAAGATGTGGTGATCTGCTTTCATAAAGATTAGAGTCTTGGAAATCCTATGGGGCAGTTCTACTCTGTCCTATAGGATTGCTATGAGTTGGAATGGAATCAATGGCAACGGGTTTGGTCTTTTTTGGTTTATAAACCAAGCTCATCAGGTGTAGTATGCATGACTTCTTTGCCCTGGAATGTAACTTGCCTAGTACTTTGCATACACTAAACATTAACAATTGAATGAACTGAATTAGGAGTTTGAGACACTATCTATAGGCTATTAGGCAATGAAGACATTGGTGTCAGAGATCAGACTCCAAGGAGAGACTGGAGAAGGGCCCAAATTCATGAGGTTTGGACTTGATAATGAACAGTAACAACAATAATCATAGCTACACTATTTTTCATAATGTACCGTAAGCACTTTACTTACGTTATCTTCTCAAAAAGCTCTGTGAGGGAGGGGTAGTTATCATCAGTTTTACACATAAGGAAGCCAAGTAGTTAAGTCCTTTCACAAAGTCTGGCTTCTAAGCTATTCTTAACAAGGTTCTGCTCAGAGGAGATTCCGTTCTCTGGGACAGGGACCTGTGATTTTCTACTGACGTTTGAGTCCGTTTATTTTAGAACATGCTAAAGGAGAAACTAAGGATGATCGGCCTGGGCTTCTCTTTGACTTTGTCACAGCTCCTGAAACCCGAAAAAACAAACCTGTTGCGGTTGAGTTGATTCCAACTCATGGAGGCCCCATTCATTACAAAGGGTTTTCTTGGCAGTGGCACAAATGGTTAAGCACTGGACTACTGACTATAAAGGTCAGCAGTTCAAATCCACCCAGAAGTGCCTTGGAAGTAAGGCCTGGCAATCTGCTTCCAAAACGTCACAGCCCTGAAAACCCTATGGAGAAGTTCTACTCTTTACACATGGGGTCGCCATGAGTTGGAATTGACTCGATGACAACAACAACAACAATCTTAACAAAAGGAGATTTCCAGTGAGTTCCAACTGCCAACCTTTAGGTTAGCAGCCAAGCATAAACCATTTGTGTCACCTAAGGTGTAGCTAAAGAGATCTGAGAAGACCCTGGGAAATCTGAACTGAAAAACAAGCAAACAGCACTCTTTCTTTCTCTCACACACACTTTCTCTCCTACACACACATACGGAGCACAGAGACACACACGTGTGCACACACCCTGCAAGTGTTAACACCTATTCATCCTTCAGACTTCAACCTAAGGGTCCCTTCCCTGGGAAGCCTTTCTGACCCCTCAGGCTAGGGCTATTCTCCCATGGAAACATGCCTCTCTCCTTCAGACCCCTATTTCAGTGTGTGATTCATTTAGTGCAGTTATTTTATTAATACAGTGAAACCTGTGAGAGCAGGAACTCAGTGGGACTGCCTTGTTTTTCCGGGTCTTGAAAGTTTTCCATTTTTGATAGGATGCAGTCTTACCACTTTTCTATCCCTCATTTTAGTGGAAAATAGTAGAGCTTTCTTTCTCTGACAGGTTTCTGCCTTACACAGATTCCAGCTTTCGTGGGTTTTACTGTATCTGCATTGCCCTCTGGAATGTAAGCTTCGTAACTGTAAGGATCACTCCTGCTTTTGCCCACTGTATTTTTCCTAGCACTTAACTCATTCCCTGGAAGACAGTAGGTGCTCAATAAATAGTGAATACATTCATGGATGAATAAATGAATGCCTAGACAAATTTCATCAGTTGGTGCTCCATATTTCAAGAGGCAGTGTGGCACAGTGATGGAGCGAATGTTGGTTGGTGTCTTAGTCATCTAGTGCTGCTTTAACAGAAATACCACAAGTGGATGGTTTTAACAAAGAGAAGTTTATTCTCTCACATTCCAGTAGGCTACAAGTCCAAATTCAGGGCGTCAGCTCCAGGGGAACACTTTCTCCATCGGCTCTGGAGGAAGGTCCGTGTCATCAATCTTCCCTTGGTCTGGGTGCTTCTCTGTGCAGGAACCTCAGGTCCAGAGGACACGTTCTGCTCCCAGCACTGCTTTCTTGGTGGTATGAGGTTCCCATGTGTCTCTGCTTGCTTCTCTCTTTTATATCTCAAAAGAAATTGGCCTAAGACACTATCCAATCTTGTATACCTCATCAGTATAACTGCTGCTAATCCATCTTATTAGATCATAGTGATTGAATTTACAACACATAAGGAAATCACATCAGATTACAACATGGTACACCATCATACAATACTGGGAATCATGACCCAGCCAAGTTGACAGATATTTTGGGGGGGCACAATTCAATCCATGACAGTTGGGGATCAAGAATTTCAATGCTAGAATCAATTAGAAGAGAATACCCATTCATTTCTACCCCTACCTCTACCAGCCTTGTTGCATCTGTACCCACATACCTCATCTTCCCTTCTCTGACAATGGCTGCACTGTCTGGATTCCTATCGAAAGCTACCCCCTTCAGTTCTGTACTGGATCCCATCCCCTCCTGCCTAGTCAATGTACACTCTCTTGTGCATTATCAGTTTTTCACTCTCTACTGTAGCACTGGAGCCCTGATGGCACAGTGGTTAAGCACTTGGCTGCTAACCAAAAGGTTGGTAGTTTGAACCCACCAGCCGCTCTGCAGGATAAAGATGTGGCAGTCTGCTTCAGTAAAGATTACAGCCTTGGAAACCCAATGGGGCAGTTCTGCTCTGTCCTATAGAGTTGCTGTGAGTCGGATTCAACTCAGTGGCAATGGGATTGTAGCACTGTTCAATAGAACTTTCTTCAGTGGCAGAAATGTTCTGTATCTGTGCTGTCCAATATGGTAGCTACTAGCCACATACGGCTACTGAGCACTTGAAATATGACTAAGTAACTGAGAAACTTAAATTTTACATTTCGATTTATTTAAATTGAAATAGCCACAGGTGGATAATTCCCATTAGCATCAAACATTCTATTATTTCTCCTATCTTAAAAAAAAAATTCTCTTGACTTCACATCCCCTTCTAGATGCCACCCCATTGTCTCTACTCCTTGTTTCCACTTCCCCTTCTTCCACATACTCTTGTAGTCACTTCAATCAATCTTTTGACTCAACATATCCCCGAAATGTTTCTTCTCAGGATCACGAAATTGCCAAATCCCATGGTCAATGTTGAGTCCTCATCTTACCAGGATTAACAGCAGCATTTTATGTGATTGATGACTTCCTCGTTTTAAGACTTTCCTTACTTGGTTATCTGGAACCCTACCACTCTTACTTGTTCTCCTATCTCTCTGGCTATTCTTTCTCAGTTCCCTTTGTTGGATTCTCATCTTCACATTCTCTAATATTCAAATGTCACAAGCCTCAGTCCTTGGACCTCATCTCTTGTCTATCTGCATTTTCTTCCTAGATGTTCTTATCCATTTCTGTGACTTTAAAAATTAGCCGTAGGCTGTAGACTCCTACAAGAATCTCTAGCCCTGATTTCCCCCCTTGAACTCCAGACTTGTATGTCATATAGCCAACCGTCTACTCAAACTTGACACTTGGATATCTAGTAAGCACCTCAAGCTTGATTTTACCTTTGAAACCTACTCCTTCCTCAGTCTTCCCCATTTTAGTCAATGCCATCTCCATCTGTCTTAATGTCTTAGAGCTGCTCTCAGAGAAATACCACAAGTGGGTGGCTTTAACGAACAGAAATGTATTTTCTCACAGTTTAGGAGGCTAGAAGTCTGAGTTCAGGGTGTCGGCTCTAGGGGAAGGTTCTCTGTTGGCTCTGGGGGGAAGATCCTTGTCTCAGCTTCTCCAGCTGGCCATCCTTGGAGTTCCTGGGCTTGAAGACTGGTTGGCCTCCATCATCTTCAGATAGTACAGGTCTTCCCCCATCTCTGCCTCCTTCTGAGCCTAACCTGCTCTTTTATATCTCAAAAGTGATCAGTTTAAGACACACCCTACACTGATATGGCCTCATTAACATAACAAAGAAATCCTATTCCCAAATGAGACTACATCCAGAGGTATGTTGTTCTTGTTTGACCACAGCCACCCCATGCGACAGAGCAGAACTGCCTCACAGAGTTTTCTAGGTTGTGACAGAGTAGAACTGCCTCAAAGAGTTTTCTAGGTTATAATGTTTATGGGAGTAGATCAGGTCTTTTCCCAGCAAAGCTGAAACCACTAGGTGGGTTCAGACTGCCACTCTTTCAGTTAGCAGCCGAGTACTTAACCGTTTAGCCCCTAAACTCATTGCCACTGAGTAGAACTGCCCTCTAGGTTAGCAGCCGACCCTTTGGTTAGCAGCCGAGCTCTTAACCACTGTGCCACCAGGGCCCCACACCCATTGGTATAAAAACCCGTTGCTGTCAAGTCGATTCCAACTCATAAAGACCCTGTACGACACAGCAGAACTGCCCCATAGGGTATAAACCAAAAACCAAATCTGTTGCCCTCGAGTTGATTCTGACTCATAACAATCCTATAGCACAGAACTGTCCCATAGGGTTTTCAGGGAGCGGCTGGTATATTCCAATAGCTGATCTTCTGGTTAGCAGCCGAGCTCTTAATAGGGTATAAAAAACACCCATTGCCGTCGATTCGATTCTGACTCATAGCAACCCTACAGGTCAGAGTAGAACTGCCCATAGAGGTTCCAATGAGCGGCTGGTGGATTCAAACTGCCAACCTTTTGGTTAACAGCCATAGCCCTTAACCACTACACCACTAGGGGTCAGGATTTACAACACATATTTTGGGAGGGACACAATGCAATCCATAATACCATTCTTCCAGTTGTTCAGGCCAAAAAAACATTGGAGTCATCCTTAATTTACACCCCACAGTCAACCCACCAGTAAATATTCTTGGTTCTACTCTGTAAATAGAGTGAGAACCTGACTCTTTTCAACCACCTCACTGTCACCCCTCTAGACCAAGCTACCATCATCTCTAGTCTGTATTAGTGCAAGAGCCTCCTAACTGGTCTCGCGACTTTTATTTACCTTTGATCCCTTAAAAACTCCCCACACAACAGCAGAAATGATCCTTCAAAAATGCAGATAGGATCACATCACAGCAACATGTCAAACTTTCCAATGGTTTCCCATCTCATTCCGTATAAAAGCCCAAGTCCTTACAGCAGTTTCTAACACTGCGTGATCTGACCCCAACTACCTGTCTTCCAGGCCCACCCTTTCTCTCTTGCTCATTCCTCTCATCACATTGTCCTCTTCTTTGAAGAGGCTAAGCCTGTTCTTGCCTCAAGGCTTTTGTATTTGATGTTCATGGCTGCTAACCAAAAGGTCGGCAGTTCAAATCTACCAGGTGCTCCTTGGAAACTATATGGGGCAGTTCTACTCTGTCCTATAGGGTCACTACGAGTCGGAATCGACCTGACAGCAACGGGCAGTAGTAGTAGTAGTATGGAAAGCCTGGTGGCGTAGTGGTTAAGAGTTCAGCTGCTAACCAAAAGGTCAGCAGTCCAAATCCACCAGGTGCTTCTGGGAAACTCTATGGGGTCGCTATGAGTTGGAATCGACTTGACGGAAATGAGTCTTTTGGTTTAGTTACGCTCAGAGTCAAGGAGCCCTGGTGGTGCAATGGTTATTACACTTGGCTGCTAACTGAATGGTCAGTGGTTTGAACCCACCAGTCTAGGGAGAAAGACGTGGCAGCCCGCTTCCATAAAGATTAAAGCCTTGGAAACCCTATGAGGCAGTTCTACTCTGTCTTATGGGGTCAGTATGAGTCGGAATTGACCCAATGTTTTTTTTTTTTTTTGTATGCTTACAGCAAGGATTCTGGGTGGCGCTAAATGGTTTGCAATAGTCTACTAACCTAAAGTTAGTGGTTTGAACCCTTTCTAGAGGCCCAGAGGAAGAAAGGCTTAGTGATTTGCAGAGAAGTTTTTCCTAACTCATCCTACCCAAAGTGGTAACTAGATTCCCTCTCAATGACACCCTCAATCCCTTTCCTTGACGTATTTTACCGGACTGTCCTTCATCTGTCTTCCCAAACTAAGAATCAGAGCGCTTACTCAGTCCGGACTTGGTGTTTTTGTTCTCTGCTGTATTCCCAGGATCTCAAATAGTGTCTGAATATGTGTGTGAAATAGTACAAATAGCACTAATATGTGCTCCATAAGTAAGTGTTGAATGCGTGAATAAAAAAATTATATTCCTAATGACCAGTCAGAATTGATTCGATTGCAGTGGTTTTTTTTTTTTTTTT